ATAAATATTATTGCTATCAAACTGATTATACTTTAATTAATTTATTAATAAAGCAAATATTCAATAAATACTTAGAACCCAACCTTTTCATTAACTGTCATAGGTATAAGTTCATCTGATTTCTAATAAATTCTATTTAATTTTACATTATTTATATAGCTTAGAAGACTTTTTTTTTAAAAAAAAAAAACAAAAACCAACCATAATAAAGTAAAGAAAAGCTATACACTTTGTGATATTCATTACTCCGTTCCTGGTAATCCATAATAATGATTAGAATTCGTGACCAAATTCCATGATTCTGTATAAAGAGATTCATAATGTCAATATTGCAAACTAGTATATTCGGACTTAAACTAGTTTGCAAACTTTGGACTGAACCCGGACCAAACTCAGACCGAACTCTAATTAATTTTGATTTTGAATTTGAATGAAATTTAAAGTTTGAGTCTGGTTCGATCCCAGACTGGACCAGACTCGAACCGGACTAGAAGCACTAATAATAACTGTTAATTTTATATCAAAATCTAATGATATTTAACAATTATTAATATATTTAAATTAAGATAAAGAGTTCAATTTCTAATTCTCTTGTCAATTTTAAGATAAATATAAATGACTTTAAAATTTGCAAGAAAAAAATGCAACATTAAATTATAAATATGAATTAATCCAATATTCAGAATGATAATTGTATACAATTAAGCATCAAGTAATAATTGCTATAAATTATTATAATATTAAAGTTTGAAATATTAGTATTATCAAATATTAGATTAATTATTTAAATAGCAAAATTTAGATATAATGATTTGTAAAATTTTAAAGTTCTATTAAACTTAAATTGAAACTCTTTTAAATAATAATATTAACTGAAAAGTTTATTTTGAGAAAATATTAACAATGTTCGTTAATAACATTTAGTAATATATATTCAGTAATGCAGGAAAGTTTATCTTCAAAGAGAATATTCAAGAAGAATATTCAAGAAGAATATTCAAAAAAAATATTCAAGAAGAATACAATAATTAACTATTCATGCTCAATATGTTATAGTTATTGTTCATTTTGTGGATAATAATTGATTTATTTTTAGGTTCTTATTATACTTTCATACTATTTTTTTAATTAAAGTGACATAATTCATATAGTTTAAAATTTTATATAAAAAGAATTTGATCTAAAAAAATCAATTTTACAACTTTCATGATGTCAAACTTTATTTCTGCTCATAACTTAATTGAAACAAATACTGTACCGAATACATCAAATGAACTCAAAAGTATTGATGAAACTGAAGATAATATTCAAAGATATATAAAAAAAAATCAAGGTTAAAAACACTAATACTTGTACTCAAAAATGGGGTTCAAGCCTTACAAACTATTATAAAAAAAAAATGTTTCTTATAAAATTCAAACTATAACAAATCAAAAGCAACTTGAATGTGAACTATGTAAATTCTTTGCTGATATTACATGATATGATAGAAAACCTTATAAGGTCAAATCAGTTATATCAGCTTATACCTCATTTAAACATTTTTTATTTAAAACTTCAGTAATTCAAAATGTCAATATCAATGATTAATATTAATTTTCAATATTATATAAAGTTGTTGATAGAAAATATATGGAGTTACAAGATCAAGGATTAGGCGAAATTGATCAATCAAAAAGATTGACTCGAGAAAAAATACGTCAAATTTTATTATACCTTAATTCTGGTAATTAAATAGCTTTACGACTTACCTAGAAAGTATTCTTCTGGAATGCATACTTATTAAGATTACATGGTGATGATTATTATCGACTTTTATTAAGCTGCTTTAATTTTCAATTGGATGGAAGTCTAATTTTTATGATTGGTTATGAGAAAAATAATCAAGATAGACTTAAAGGTCGAAACAAATATAGAAAATTCTCTAGTTGTCATGTACATATTCCACCAGACTTGTCTAATAATAAATTTAAATCTATTCAAGACCTTCAGAATTATATAAATTTATGTCCACCAGATGCATGTGGCAAGTTCTATTTACAGTTAACAAGAAATTTACAAGCAATTAAAGATGAAACCTGGTTTCTTAAAACTGGACTTGGTCGACACACATTAGCAAATATAATGAACAATATTGCACAAGCTTCAAATATTAATATTAGTGATCAATGAATTACTAACCATTTCGGAAGAAGAACTGCAATTCAGCTTTTGTCTGATCTTAATGTAAATAAACATGAAATGATGAAATTTTCAGGTCACCATTCAGTTAATAGACTACGATCATATAAAGTTCCTAATAATGAGCAATGGCTCAAAAATACTACTTTACTAATCAATGCAATTCAAGATTCTCAAGCTCAAACTTCAGAATCTCAAGTTCAAACTCCAGAATCTCAAATCAAAACTCCAGAATATCAAGTTCAAACTCCAGAATCTCTAGTCGAAACTTCAGAATTTCAAATTATAACACAAGAATTTCAAGTTTCACCCCTGGAATTTCAAGTTTCGACTAATGAAAATTTTTGACCCAAGAAATATCTCAAGTATTTACCCAAGAAACGTCTCAAGTCATGACTAAAAAACCTCAAGTATTTACCCAAAAAATGTCTCAAGTCTTGACTGAAAAACCTCAAACCTTAACACAACAAAAAAGCATTCGATTTAAAAAAAAGGTTCTGAAACTAACCCAAGAAGAAATTCAATTAAAATTAACTAGGCCCTTTCGTTCACCTTTAAAAAAACTTCAAGATCAAACACAAAACATCGTAATGGCTAAAGATGGAACTACGAATATTTTCGAATTTCATAATGCTGGAGATGTTAAAATTACATTTAAGTAATAATTATATTAAATATACTGTATAGAATTGTATTGAACGCATTGTATAATATAGCTTTTATGAATTGAAAGTTATTGAAATTATTGCTAAAACAAGTATCTGCCTAGTTTGTATATTTTATGATATAAAAAATTGTCAATTAAAAATCCCGGATCAGCCCGAATCCGGAATCTGGACAATAACCATGAAAAAATAGTACGGAAGTATAAATAAGAACCGGGGAATAAATAATTTTGCTTTTACATTGTTAAGAGTGCTTAGTCGTTGCTTAAAGAAGTATATTAAAGAAGTATGTTGGGTGTAAATATTTAAATAGTTTATAGTTGATAAAATGGATAAATACAATGGGTAAATACAATTAGTAACATTTTACGTTGTCATATGTTCATTATGTTCATTACGGTCTTTTCATTTTTATGAAACATTTATCATTATTTGGGCTAGGTGCTGAGAAAAGGGACGAAATTGACAATTTTTTTAAAAGATGTTTTTTTTGCATAAATCAATTTATAATGAGATTAAGATTATTTTTCATTTAATACACAAAAGTAGTTGTATTAATAAAATTTTGCAGTATAGCTCTTTAAAGTTTGTATTTTCTTATGATTTATTATAAGATTTATAACATAAAAATGGATTTTCCGAAGATCTTTTTTTTTGTCAATTTCGTCCCTTTTCTCAGCACCTAGCCCATTTGATTACACATTAGAATACGTATCATTAATTCTGGATTCCCAGCACTGCTGCAAATGATTATGTTACGGGTCAAGTTGGTTTTTAGGTCAAGTTAAACTTGACCCGGGTCAAATTGATCCCAAGCAGAATTTTAGGGTTAGGGCAGGCCGGAATTATGTTGATGCCGGCCGGGTTTTTTAATTGATCAATTTGACCCGGGTCAAGTTTAACTTGACCTAAAACCAATTTGACCCGTAACAATTATAACGTAAGATGCTATCTACGAAATTTCATATACCGCAATTGCATTACTCGGCACAAGTTCTTTGTAAAAATGACATTTTAACTTCTTTAGATATTAGTAGCAATGACATTCGACTTAGCGGAGGCAAGAAATTAGCAGAAGCTCTTTGCATAAACACTACTCTAATTTCCTTAGATCTTTCTCATAATAGGCTTAATTTTGAATTTGGAAAAGCTTTAGTGGATGCTCTATGAAAATAGTACGTTAGACTACTTAAATCTTTCTTACAATCAAATTGATTTTAAAAACTGCAACAATACAAAAAGCGTAAGTGTATTAACAAATTTTTCCTACAAACATTACATTAACATATTTATTATATGATATTTTTATTCATAAGATATTAAAGAGAATAGCATATGCTTCCATTTTTTTCTGCTTTAAAATAATTAGTGCTAGCAATTCATTAATAAATGAAGCACATGACTATAAACATCTTGTGTCAAAGTCTTTAACATATTGTCAAATGTATTCTTTAGTTCATATATTCAATAATTACGTATCTCAATTGGGGGTAGTAGGTTAGTGATGTCCAAAAATTTTACCATTTCGTGTAACCCGAGCTTCCGGACCTCGATCGGCTGGTTCGGATTCGGACTTCGGATTGACCTACGAAATGCTAATACAAGCATAATGCAAACTAGCTAA